TTGGGTTTTCGTCGCTTGGCAACGACGTTGTAAAACAAGCCAATTCACTTCGCGAACTCGGCAACCAGGTTACCGTTTTGTTTTTTACCTCCGGTTTTCCTTTTGGCGGTAACCATAATGGTGGTCGAGTAGATCATGCTGTGCGGGGTCGAGAATCCTCACTCCGCGCAAGGGGGATGATCGCACCACGTGGTGTTAAAATGGTCAAGCACCCTCGAGGCAGTTACACAGAGTGCTTACAGCTGTCTCAGGAAGTGAAAGCACCAGAAAATAAATTAAGTCATACGCAGCTGTCATCCTTACGCAAGGAAGTACGCACAAGATGCCGAAAANGGGATTGGGTTTTCGTCGCTTGGCAACGACGTTGTAAAACAAGCCAATTCACTTCGCGAACTCGGCAACCAGGTTACCGTTTTTTTTTTACCTCCGGTTTTCCTTTTGGCGGTAACCACAATGGTGGTCGAGTAGATCATGTTGTGCGGGGTGGAGAACCCTCGCTCCGCGCAAGGGGGATGATCGCACCACGTTGTGTTAAAATGGTCAAGCACCCTCGAGGCAGTTACACAGTGCTTACAACTGTCTCTGGAAGTGAAAGCACCAGAAAATAAATTAATTCATACGCAGCTGTCATCCGTACGCAAGGAAGTAAGCACAAGTTGCCGAACACCCTTGCAGGATGCAGCGCACCCTCCATGCGACTCGTCGAATATCTCACGGCGCTCCGCGCTTGGTGATGTGAGAGCCTGGTCCGGTGAGAACCCGGTGTGCTCCGTCCCGGCTTTGTAGGGATGCGAGGTCAATGGTCTAAGGACTACGGCATGCACGACTATGAGTACACCTGCCCCCCCCCCCCCCCCCAAGCTTGGCACGTACAGCTTGCTTGGGTCTCGGCAAAATGGTTTTTTTTTTCTGTCTCTCCGTACCATTTAGATCGTCCAATGTGTCTGCCTGCCTGCCTGCCTGCCCGCCTGTCTGCCTATCGTTTTCAGGAAAGCTTGGATCTGTTCGAGAAGATGCGGACGGGCCAGATGGACGAAGGGGCCGCGACGCTACGGCTGAAGATGGACATGACCTCGCCCAACCCCAACATGTGGGACCAGGTGGCCTACCGCGTGCGGTACATCCCGCACCCGCACGTCGGTGACAAGTGGTGCGTCTACCCCACCTACGATTACACGCACTGCCTAGTGGACAGGTGAGACGAAACCCAGAAAATGAATTGTAGTGAGTGTCGGTTTTCGGGGGGGGGGGGTTGCTACCGGAAATTTCCTTATCCGAAGTACAGGATTGTTTTTTGGTTCACCTACAGATAGCTGTGCTACGTGCTGCTGCGTCTGGAAGGTATTTAACCGTTTACTCAGAAAAACAGAAAGAGGTGAATGGACAAAAGTGCGTATACCCACGCCATTCCCTGACAGAAGTGGGTAATCGAAAATCCAGCTCGCGCGCACTCCATGGGTGACCCCCAAACAACTCAAAACCACATTCTGACACCTGGGAAGCGGCGGTGGGGGGGAAGAAACAGCGACCGGGCACTGCTGTACAAATGAGAAGGGCGGCCGAGGCAGCACTTGTGGCGAATTATGTACCCGGCTGATGTTGTTGTGTCCTGTTTCCCTCCCTGCTGCGTGCTAAATATACTCCTTTATGTATGGCCTTTGTATTGCCTTCGGCCTCTGTGGTGTTTTTCTTTTTTTCATGTCCTCCCTGCCTACCTTACTGCGTTGGGTACCTTGATCTCCCTTTTGCTGTTGCCTTTGTTTTTTGTATATCTGGCTGTCTGCCCATTTACAGCTTTTTTTGTTTTGTTGGCCCCGTTGCTCCCATGCCGAAGTGCGTAATGCCTGGTGCTGGTACGTTACCCTTTGTTTTTTTCTTTGGGCGGGTGTGGGAAGCGTCCTCCTTTTTTTTGTTTTTGTTTTATTTTGTTCGGTTTCCGAGGGCTCTTGTCTCGACCGGTCGGTGCGGTAGCTGCTCTTTTCTTTTCATCATATTGTTTGTTTTTCCGAGTGGTTTGAACCCTATTTTTGTTTTTGTTCCCCCGCGGCGTTGTATGTGCCGGGATTGAGACTACGGGCTCCCCATTTTTTGTGGACTTTAGAGCTAATGTGAGAAACAACAACCTTGGCGACGCAGCCAGGGACCATACACAGCACGGGCATCGATTTTTTCACACTTTCAAGAACGTCTTTGGCCCTAATAACGCCGAGGCGCGCAAGGCCTTACCAGAGTGCCCACTTCTGTCCGACATCTTAGTGGGTACACCCAGCGGCATCTACTAATGTATTCATTTACCCACTTGTGTCTGTCTTTCGACCCACTTTAGTCCATGTTGTACCCACTTTTGTCCACTCACGGACGGCGGAAATCGAGCGGAAATCGACCTCCACGTCACCGCACGGCAGAACATCGAATGGCCTCGGAACGTCTCAGAACCTCCCAACACCGCATCCATGGCATCTTTCGTATCCATGTCAAAAACATGCCAGATACCTTCGGTACCAGCACGGGAAAATTCCCGCGGGCAAGCACGGCAAGCAGCGCACTAACGGCACGCCACGCCACGCCACAAATAAATGGGCGACACACAACGGACAACGAATCAACGGGTCGCGCATACAGAACAGAAAGACGCGCATACAGCAACACAGACACACACGTGCGCCACACACACAAAAAACATCAACCACCACGACGAGTGCACCCCGACTCGAGGCAGTTTGCCCTGCAGGGCGCCCGCGCAGGGTCACAAGCGCGGGCGCACCTCTGTCAGCTGCTGGCGGCGCGATGGTTGAAGGGGCAACTTTCTCGACGTCGCTCGACCTCAAACGGGCGTTCGAGCGCTGCATGATCTCAAAGCCTAGGCAGTGCGGTCGGGACAAGCGTCGCCGCTGCCCAGTGCGTGCACGGGGTTGCAAGCAGAATGATGGCACCTGGAAGGTGACGGAGGTGGTCCTGGACCGTGTGGCGTGCATCGGCCAGGCCGGCAACGAGAAGCAGCGGGTCAACCGCCGATGTGCCGAGGAGGAAGCAATGGCGCTCGTGAGATCGAATCACAGCATCACCTGCCCTCACGAGTCGGGGTGCACTCGTCGGGGTGGTCGGTGTTTTTTTTGTGTGTGGTGCGCGTGTGTGTCTGTGTTGTTGCTGTATGCGCGACCCGTTGATTTGTTATCCGATGTGTGTCACCCAATATTTGTGGCGTGGCGTGCCGTTAGTGCGCTGCTGCCGTGC